ACACACACACACACACACACACACACACACACACACACAGCTGCTCTAATCGGTCCTGATTCTTCTCACTCGAGAGTTTAAACTTCTTTTAACTCTAAAATCTTCTTTCCGTTCCTCTGCAGATCGCCGGACTCCTCAGCTGATCACAAGAGTTCTATTTTTTCTGGACGCCGGAGCATGGCGGATAAATTCAGCACAGATTAACCCGTGCTGGAAAGGAAGTCGGGCACAGACACAAAATAAAACATCCGGCTTCTTTTCAAAATAAGATGCTGATTCTAGAAGTCTAGAAGTAGATTTCCTCCTCTGGAAGGACACAATCTACTGCTTATATGTCTATGTGTCTGTCTTTAGAGAGACAACTCGTTATCGTGTGATTAAACGTGAATCTGCAGGTTCTCCTGATTCCTGCTGTCTTTAATCCACCATGAAACTCGCCTCACAAACAGATCTGGTAGGAATCGGCGGACGGTGAAAATCGCCGCGGTTTCAGATCAGAGCCGTTCAGGATGCGTCTAAAATTTGGGTTAAACACTTGAGAGCAGCGATCACACCTGATGACGTGTTTCAGGGTTAACCTGCTGATGATGTCATACCTCAGACAGCTCGTACCCGGGTCTCTCCTGTCAAAGATTTCTATTCTCAGGGAAGAGGACAGAGCTGCAGGAGCTCTAGTGGACACTGGGGGAACTACAGTCTTTGGCACTCCAGTTTAAGCCCCGCCCCCTGAGCCGGGTTCAAACACAGTCAGACGTTAATCTTTGATCGGACGCTCTCATTAGTCTGGGTCGGTGTGTCGTACCTGCCGAAGAACGCCACCTTCATGTGTCTCCTGAGCAGGACGTCTCTGATGGTCCACAGTTTGGTTTCACAGCTCTGCATCTCCAGACTCTGCTCCTCCACCGCCACCTGAGCGAGCTCCTCCCCCCGCCACGCCTCTGACATCACACAGACACACGGACGTTATAGTCTGACCCCAAAGTCTCTCTGCTGACTCCTGATTGGTCAGATGGACGACAAACAGAAACTATCAACCGTCCAATCAAACGGATGTTTTCATCTTTCTTCAAACAGCTGTAACCCCCGATCGCCATGACAACGACCTGGTCTGACCTCCGCAGAGACAGACCTGACGGAGAATCAGCTGATTCAGTGACGGGTGAATTCTACCTGCAGGTACCTGACACACCTGAGTGTGAGTGTGTGTGTGTGTGTGTGTGAGTGTGTGTGTGTGTGTGTGTGTGAGTGTGTGTGTGTGTGTGTCTGTGTGTGTGTGTGTGTGTGTGTGTGTGTCTGTGTGTGTGTGTGTGTCTCACCGTCCACAAAGGCGGAGCCATCCTTCACAAAGTCCAGCAGCTGGTCAAAGATGGAAGTGATCGAACGCTTCGCCACCACGAAGTGCCGCAGAGGAGACGGATCCACGGCGTCCATCCCACTGACACACACACTCACTCCTGACACACACACACACTCACTCCTGACACACACACGCCGTCAGTGTTCGGGGTTCAGAGGTCAGGCGTGTTTCAGGGTCTCCTCTCCGTCAGCTCCCATCATGCCTCTGTTCACCACCTCACACTCACCGACACTGACTGATCCTCAGCACACAAAGCTCAGCTTACTGTGTGTGTGTGTGTGTGTGTGTGTGTGTGTGTGTGTGTGTGTGTGTGTGTGTGTGTGTGTGTGTGTGTGTGTGTGTGTGTGTGTGTGTGCGCAGACAGATCCTCTTAGTAGGACTTAGAGCTGCTTCCCCTGCTGCTCATTCTCACAGGTGTGTGTGTGTGTGTGTGTGTGTGTGTGTGTGTGTGTGTGTGTGTGTGTGTGTGTGTGTGTGTTTATTCCAGACTCTCTTATATTCAGTCATCAGTGACACAGATTGAGTTTCGATCAGCTGTAATGTGTTCTCCTGTCCAGCAGAGGGTGCTGCTGCTGCTGACACACACACACACACACACACACACACACACACACACACACACACACACACACACACACACACACACACACACACACACACACACACACACCTGTTAAAGTTCAGACGTGTTTTTTTAAACTCTTCAAGGTTATAAATTAATTCAGTCTTAATCAGCAGACGGGCCTCTATCACCAGAACCAGCTGTATGAAACCCTTGATTCTGATTGGTCCAGAGCCTGTAACAGTAATAATAGCTAAAAGCCAAACCAAGAACAAACTCGTCAAAGTTTTCAGATCCGAACAATTCAGTATAGTCCTCCTTCTCCTGTTGACACTGTGGCAAAAACATGTATGAGCGTCTGTCTCTTTAAGACCCTACAAAGCATCCTAGAACCCAGGACTCTAGGATCCAGGACTCTAGGATCCAGGACTCTAGGACCCAGGACTCTAGGATCCAGGACTCTAGGACCCAGGACTCTAGGACCCAGGACTCTAGGATCCAGGACTCTAGGACCCAGGACTCTAGAACCCACTGAACTTCACCTCCAGTTAGGGTTTGACTCTAACTTTGTTCACATGTTCTCCTGAGTTAAAAAAGTAAGGAGCACAAAGAACTTTAGGGGATCAATGAAAACTGATCAATAATGTTTGTCTTATTGATCGACCTTAGTACTATTATTAGAAATCAATTTTAGGTCTTTTGGTCACATGACAGTGAAGCTATTGAAGGAAAACAGCCTTTTCTGAGAACATCAACCGGTAATTTATTGACGGTCCCTTATTCAACACCGACGTTGACAGTGAGGGTGTCGAGTAGATTTAACCGCGCTGCTGTTGTTATTCCCGGTTCTGGAGAGTGAGAAGACACCGGTAGATCCTCAGAGAATGTCCGTCAGATATCCAACCTGAAACTAACTTCACCGCCGTATTTACAGGAAAATATATCCAACCTGAAACTAACTTCACCGCCGTATTTACAGGAAAATATATCCAACCTGAAACCAACTTCACCGCCGTATTTACAGGAAAATATATCCAACCTAAAACTAACTTCACCGCCATATTTACAGGAAAATATATCCAACCTGAAACTAACTTCACCGCCATATTTACAGGAAAATATATCCAACCTAAAACTAACTTCACCGCCATATTTACAGGAAAATATATCCAACCTGAAACTAACTTCACCGCCATATTTACAGGAAAATATATCCAACCTGAAACTAACTTCACCGCCGTATTTACAGGAAAATATATTCAACCTGAAACTAACTTCACCGCCGTATTTACAGGAAAATATATCCAACCTAAAACTAACTTCACCGCCATATTTACAGGAAAATATATCCAACCTGAAACTAACTTCACCGCCGTATTTACAGGAAAATATATTCAACCTGAAACTAACTTCACCGCCGTATTTACAGGAAAATATATTCAACCTGAAACTAACTTCACCGCCGTATTTACAGGGAAATATATCCAACCTGAAACTAACTTCACCGCTGTATTTACAGGAAAATATATCCAACCTGAAACTAACTTCACCGCTGTATTTACAGGGAAATATATCCAACCTAAAACTAACTTCACCGCCGTATTTACAGGAAAATAAAATATTTGTAGATTTTTTTATTCCCACATGTGACCCTGAATTATCACACACATCTATTTTTAGTCGCAGTGAAACTGTGAAACTGTCGAGATCTGACTCAAGTGTAAAACACCCTGGACAAAGGGGTCTGTCTGCTGTATGGAATTACGACCAGAACCCCTTCGCACTCTCATAACAATCCAGAAACCTGTCCTCCAGAACCCATCATCCCAGAACCCAGTACTCTAGGACCCAGGACTTATTTTGAGCTGAAATACTGATCCACAGAGTCTGGAGAGGGAGCAGAAGGAGCGAGCAGGACGGTTCTGTTGGGTTTGTGTTTGACAGTCTTAGGAGTGAGTTCAGGTTTCTACTGCAGGTCACCGAGAACTCCAACAGATGATCATGAAACAGTGATCAATACACAATCAATCAATACAATCAGAAGATCTCCAGAAGGTTCTGTCTCAGGGGTGAGGATGTTCTGATGGTCCGTCCTGTTAGACAGGAGCTGAAGTCAGAAAACAATAAGAGTGAACAGAGATCCTAAAAACAAGAGGAGCGCTCACTACCACAGGTTTTAGACTGCTGAGAGAGAGAGACGCTGAATGATGCAATATTACTGTACGTGTGTGTGTGTGTGTGTGTGAGTGTGTGTGTGTGTGTGTGTGTGTGTGTGTGTGTGTGTCTGTTTATCTCTCAGCCTCAGTCAGATTCAGCAGAAACCGTTGCTGCTGTTTGATCAAACTTCAGACTAACTTTCATCATGGTCCCGTCAGAGCGAACACGCCCTCCTTATCTGACCCCGAGGAGGAGTCTCTTCAGAAGAGCGGTAAATACACGGAAAAACGTCTAAATCTGTCCCAATAAATAAGAACAACTTTTCCCTGTAAACACTCAATCCTTTCTCTATCAGTGAGTGTTTTACTCTGAAAATCAAATCTTCCTCTTCTGCGGTGTCGGCCGGGAGTCCTCCAGGGTTTGTGTCACTCAGAGAGGTTTGAAGGTTTTAACGTCTGACTCGCTGCAGACGGATGTTCTCTCAGCTGTTTGAAGTTTGATATTTCTGTCAGAATCAACATTAAACTGCATTTTTCTAAATATGAAACATGAAAACAGGTTTTCATCTTCAGAAACAAACTGAACAAACGCCTCAGCAGGACCGATTATTTCAAACCTCCATGACTGGACCTGATCAGTCTGACAGGTCCGATCGGTCCCTTATTGGTCTTCAGGGTTAAACGTAGACCGAACACAGGGGTCACTCAGAGGAGAGGAGGTGAGGGTTACTGTCCTTTAGTAAGGACCACCATGACCACCTCCAGAGACCAGGTCTGACCAAAGTCTCTGACCCTCTTGTGTTTCACAGATCAGTCCTCCTCATATAAAACCGAGGGTCTGAAGCGGGTCACGGTCCTCGGCTCAGGGTCAGAGTTTGAAATCTTGCTGTAAATATGAGTTGACACAGTTTTTTTGGTGCCAAACTGATAACAAACTGCTGACAAAGCACGAGGAGGGCCGGGTGGTTTTTGACCTCCATATAATCTTCATCGCGGTTTGTACCAGGCGGCCAATCTGTGACCTCAACTGCACTGAGATGTCACCACAACAGACCGCTCTGTTTACCGCGCACAAAACTCCTCCTGACCTACAAAAGTTCAGCCTGAGAGGGTACGACCAGGAGGTCAGGAGGTCAGGAGGTCAGGAAGGTACATTTGAAGGTTAATCAACCGAAGCGGAAAAATGATCTGACTTAAGTCCTTCACGGAGACCGAACAGCTGCTCAGAGATTAAAGAGTTAAAATACGTCCGTATTTTTCAAAGAGAGTTTTAATCGGACTGAGATATTCCTACGCTGTGACTGAAACCATGGAGGCGTGTTCGTTATCTGCCGCCGCCGCTCAGGGGACAAAGGTTTAAGTTCGGCGGCCCTGAAGGTTCCCTGAACAAATGTTTCATCAACACCCTCAAATAAAAAAACTGACCAAGTACCAAAATATTCATAAAAGGAAAAAACAGTGTTTTCATCTTTTCTAAAGTTTATTTTTGTTTTTGTAAAAAAACTTAATGATAAAAAAAATTTTCTTTTTCATAAAAATATTGTGATGAAATATTTTTGTTTTGCTGGAAAAAATGTTTTTGGACTTTTTGAAAAGTTTCCCTCATTATTTTGGTTAAAAAGAATTTATTGGTGTTTGAACTTTTGAGAATTTGATCGATTTTTTTTTTGCATTTTGTAAAAAGTTTTTGTTTGCTGTAAGAACTTTATTTTGAAAAATATTTTTATGTGATTTTTTTTGTATCTCATAATTATTTGTGTGTGTCTGTAACGTGGTTTAAAGTGTGATAAACATTTTATTTGATGGTAAATATTCATGTTAAAACTTGTTTCAGATCTGGGACCAAAGTTTCCATTTTGAAGGTTTTTTTTGTGTTTAAGTGAATTTTTTTCTATTAAAATTTTTGGTTTGTGTTTTCAGGTTTAAAGAAGTTTTTGTGTTTTGAGATTTTACTGCAATTTATTTTTTATTTTTTGTGTAACATTTTTGTATTTTTAAACATTTTTGATTTGTTTTCTATTCTTTCATACAGTGAAATATTTTGTTATTTAAATGTGTTTTTTGCGGGGGTTGTGTAATATTTTGTATTTTCTGTTATTTTTTAAATATTTTTTCATTTCTTTACATTTTGTGTTTTGTGAAATTTGTGAAAATTGTTTGAAGTTTTAGAATTTACAGGAATATTTTGGTGTAAAATATTTTTGTGCTTTAATAATTTTTTTGATGTTTTGTAAAAAGTTTTATGTCCACTGAAACTTATTTAATGACATTATTTATGTAAAGTTTTCACGCTCAGTTAATTGACCCTCAGGGCCACCGTACAGATGAGATCATTAGTGTTTGACAGACTGAAGTTCTGTCTGATAATATCGTTTTGTCAGACCCGTTAATTCAGCAGATGAAGGTCTCATTAAAGATTGTTTGTGTGGAGTCAGATCTGCTGTAATGAGGAGAAAAAAGTTCTTCATAAGTTACTGAAGATGAAGTCTGAAAAACTTGTTTGATCACTTGTTGGTTTTGATGGTGCAGCTTCAGGAGGGACGGGATGAGAACAGGTGATACTCAGAACTTTAAAAACATCGAAAAGTGTCGATTTAATAACGTTCAATCATCATCTTTAATATAAATCAGAGCCAGCCGGGAGAGAAACCTTTAACCATGTTCAGATTCTGTTTTCCTGCTGCAGTAGGAGGAGGAGGAGGAGGAGGAGAGGGAGAGGGGGATGGAAAAAAGAGGAAAACAAAGTCTGCAGTCAAAGAGAGACAAACGATGGACGAGGAGATTAACCAGAGAGACAGACGGACGCTGAGGAGACACGAAGAGGAGAGCTGAAGACAGACGAAGTGACGGCTTCAGATCACACTGGGAGAAAAAAAGAGAGGAGGGGGAGGAGGGGAGGAGCTGGGGGAGAGCAGGAGGAGGAGCCAAAGAGGAGGGAGGGAAATAAAAGTCAGCCTGAGCAGAGGAGAGACGACCAAACTGAAGAGAGGAGAAACTCTGACACACGTCTGCTGCCTGAAGACAAAGAAGAAAGAGGAGGAAGAGGAGAGAGAGGAAGACGAGGAAGAGTCTGTGCTGGAAGACGAGAGGAAAGAGGAAGAGGAGGAGGAAGATCACGGTCTGTATGTTTGAGTTCACAGCTGCTGAGAAAAGAAGAAGATTTACTGAGGAAGAGGAGGAGGAAGAGAGTGAAAGAGAGAGAACTGAAATGGACTGAGACCTCACTGTACCTGACATAGAACTAACTGACCAGTTTAACTGACCAGTTTAACCAGTATAATTGACCAGTCTAACTGACCAGTCTCACTGACCCGTGTCCGGCCTGAGAGGAGGAGCTCTCAGCATCATGAGAACCTCCACCTGAACAGCGTCCTCCTCCTCCAGCATGCAGAGCAGCTTCTCCCACAGACGGAGCTCCCTGAAGGGAGCAGGCGTGATGAAGACGATGATGAAGATGACAGTGATGATGATGATGATGATGATGATGGTGGTGGTGATGAAGGTGGAGGCAGAGAGCTTTGAGGAGCTGGAGAGTGACGAGAGTCTGGAGATGCTGGACGACGACATCAGCACAGAGAATCCGGTGAGATTTATAGATATACACAATATAGATATACATTATATAGATATACATAATATAGATATATACAAATATAGATATACATAATATAGATATATACAAATATAGATATACATAATATAGACATATACAAATATAGATATACATAATATAGATATATACAAATATAGATATACATAATATAGATATATACAAATATAGATATACACAATATAGGTATACATAATATAGATATATACAAATATAGATATACACAATATAGATATACATAATATAGATATATACAAATATAGATATACATAATATAGATATATACAAATATAGATATACATAATATAGATATATACAAATATAGATATACATAATATAGATATATACAAATATAGATATACATAATATAGATATATACAAATATAGATTTACATAATATAGATATATACAAATATAGATATACATAATATAGATATATACAAATATAGATATACATAATATAGATATATACAAATATAGATATAGATAATATAGACATATACAAATATAGATATAGATAATATAGATATATATACAAATATAGATACAGATAATATGGAAGATAAACGCAGTCTACCATTAATCCACATAAAAACACTTTAATAAATCAGTTTAATAAAAGCACCAGATAAATATTTACACTTTATCCACAAATCCACTTTAAACCTGAGAAATCATAATTCTTTTTTTTTTTAATAAAACACCAAAACTTTTAATAAAACCTGAAAATAATGAAGACTCTAATATTCAGAGACTGAGTCTGGATTATAATAAACCACAAAATAATAACACAGAAAAATCAACAGAGTGAGAAAAGAAAGAAACAGGAAAAAGTCTGAAATAAAACTTTCAAATCGACTCTTAAGAAGTTCTTTTATGAGTTTCTAAAATTGTTAAACAGTTTTAAGTCTAAACTGTCGACCCGGGTCTTCCTCTGACTGACCTGCAGTTAGCCTGGTTAGCTGTTAGCTTCAGTTAAAAGTACTTAAGTGATATTTTAACTCTGATCGACACAAAGAGAAGATTTCTTCGACTTTTAACGAAGCGCACTGTGACGTTATTTTCAACAGGAAGCAGGAAGTCACTGCAGTAATTTAGCTACAGGGAGTCAAAAGGGACAAAAAGCATAAAAAATAAAAACTTAAATTATTTTTAAAACATTTTTAGACCTCAGTGGAAATCTGATGATAGAGTTAATGCTCACATATGATAAAAAATGTGATAAAGCGGTTATTTTTGATTGTCCCACAGGAGCCTCCGTCCTCGGACATGTCCCAGTTGTCTCCTTTCAACTCCTGGCTCATCTTCAGGAGGAACTCCAACAAGGGGGACAACAGGAAGACCAAAACCAGCAGGAGGATCTCAAAGGTCAGACATCCAAACGGTGGTAAAAACGTCGGTGTCCACAGTCTCAGACGGCTCACAAACATTTTTTATAACTAAAAGTTTTTTTTTTATCAACCTTACTGTAATTTTTTTGCACACAATACTATTTTATTTTATCACATATACTATGACATTACATTTATAAATTTACATACTAGACAATAATATTATTATCATTTAAAACCTAGAAATTTTTTATATTAAAACCTGAAATTTTTATCAAACTATATTCTTTATTTTTTATCACACTATTCTGTACATTTTTTAAAATATAAAATATTATATAAATATAAAAAATATAAGTCAAATATAAAATACTTGACTTTTATATTCTTATCATAATATACTCTAATTTTTTATATGATACTATATCATATTTCTATCACACTACACTGAAAGATTATTTAACATTCTATACTATGACATTTGGTCATACTGTACTGTCATTTTTGATTATACTATTTAATTTTTAACAAAACTTTTCTATGACATTTTAATCATACAATAATATGATATGATTATTATTAGACTCTGATGTTTAATCTACGCGTTAATGTCTGAACTTCGGCCCCTCTCTCTCTCTCTCAAGTCTTCGGTTGGTAGTTGAGGGATAAACGCGGCCTTCGCTAACCCTCATGGGAGTCTAACTCCACCTACAAAAGAATCTAAAGATGTTTGCGTGTCTTTGCAGCACGGTCTTCCAGGCCCTCCAGGACCTCCAGGACCTCGGGGACCTCCAGGTCTCCCGGCCCCCCTCCTGCCCCAACAACAAGAACTGATCCAGGAGCTGCAGCTCAAACTGAAAGGTAAGAACTCAGAACCAGATCCACCTGACCTCAGACCAGATCGGCTTGGCTTAACATAAAGATTCACTGTTCTGTTGTCATAGCAACAGGCAACCCCCCCCCCCCCCAACTCCAGTCTTCAAGCTAAGCTAGGCTAGCATTTCCTGTTGTCTTCCAGGAGTTATTATGCTAAACTACGCCGTTTGTCATCAAAGGGTTAAAAGCTAAGCTAACGTTTCTGTAGTTCGTAACACTTTATGCTAGGCTAAGCTAGCGTTTTTATTTTGAGTGAACCACGTTCATCTGTTTACACCTGCTTACTCTCTGTGTTGAGCTACACACGCTGTTTATACTTACTTTTAATCTTAATGCTAAATTAAGCTTGCTAACCAGACTAGCAGCGAGATAAGAAGAACTTTATTGATCCCGAAAGGATCTTATAGGGATTAAGCTAAGCTAGCAGTTTTCCTTTGTTTCTGGTTCAGCCTCTAATTCCGTTGGTAACAGCATTTTACATTCATTCAGTTAGCTTAGCGTTTCATCTGGCTAAGCTAGCCCAGCAGATTCCATCATATAGCATTAAGCTACAGGGACAGGTGGCTAATTTCAAACCTTTGTGCTAAGCTAACAGTTTGGACTCAGAGAAGAACCATGTGACTGTGGTGGAGCAGCAGTGCGTGTGTGTGTGTGTGTGTGTGTGTGTGTGTGTGTGTGTTCATCAGGAGACTCTTTGTATACAGATGGAAAAAATGACGAATGTTCCCGTTCTCTTTCATTTACTGACTTCAGTTTATCCTGCTGCAGCTTTTCACTTTCACTCACTGTTTGGATGTAGGTTATATAAATACTGTGTGTGTGTGTGTTTGTGTGTGTGTGTGTGTGTGTGTGTGTGTGTGTGTGTGTGTGTGTGTGTATGGAGGCAGGCTGTCTGAGTCCTTAATAGGGGTAATTTTGTGGAGCGTGGATGTGACTTGGCTCTGCAGCAGGATTCCTGACATTCCTGTTGACTGATGGTGTGTCTTTGTTACTTTGTGTGTGTGTGTGTGTGTGTGTGTGTGTGTGTGTGTGTGTTATATTATGTTATGTTCAATCATGCAGGTTGCATCCCTCCATCAGGTTGTTTTCATGGTTTTTCTGTAAAGTTAACAGTGTAGGGTTGGGACAATCTTAACACACGTCTGTATTATTCACTGTCTTGATGAACTGTCGTATAAATTATTGTTTTAATAATATTTAAAATTGTTTTAATAATAGCTATAATAGCTAATAGCCTTGATAATAATTATAATTGTCTGAGAGTATTTCTTATTGATTATTTTAATGATTGTTAAGATAATATTGTGGTTTTGATAATATCTATTATGATTCTACTAATATCTTTTTAATAATACTGGTGTTTAAATAATATTAATTATGTTAATAATATTCATAATTCTTAATTTTTTTTAATGAATTAACATACTATTCTATAATTTTTTTCATACAGTAATATCATACGCATTTATCATCCGATACAATGACACTTTTATCATACTATACTATGTCATTTATTTTAAACAAAATACCATAGGACATCTTTTTTATCATACTATTCTATGACATTTTTTAACATACCTATGATTTTTTATCATGATAAACTGTGATATTTTTATTTCAATATACATATTTTTTTTAAATCAAGCTTTACTGTAACTTTTTCCACATACAATACTATTCTATTTTTATCGTGTATACTGTGACATTTTTTTATACAAACTATGGCATCTCACTGATATATTTTCACACTAGACAATAATATTATTATCATTTAAAACCTAGACCATTTTTTATTTTAAAATCTGAAATTTTTATCATAATTTATTCTAGATTTTTTTTTATCATACTATGGAATGACAATTTTATCATTCTATACGATATTTTTTTGATGAACTCTACTATGACATTATTAACCATTCTAAATTATGACATTTTTATTATACTATACTATACCATTTTTTCATTCTAAACTATGACATTTGGTCATACAATACTGTAATAGTTTGATTATACAATACTATTACAAGTTTTACCATTCTTTTCTATGACATTTTTTATCATACTATACTATTTTTAATTTTTTATCCTACTACACTATGAAATTTACCAACTATACATTCTATACCCTGAATTTTTTTATTCGAACTATACTTTGACATTCTATAACATACTACACTGATATTTTGTATCATATTATACTAAGATATCTTTTTAGTCATTTTCTATCATACTATACTTTGACATTTTTTATCATACTAAACTATGACATTCTGTAAGGATGCCTAGCCCATGTTCACACCTTAAAAAATCGAAGGTCCACACAGATGATCAGTTTGAGAAGCTTTATTGGTTGCAGATCTGGGTTACAGCTTCATCAGGCCACAAATGGAACAAAGACTTGTCTGAGAGTGTTCAAGTTTATACAGACGTCCACGTTTCCAAACATTCTGCTTGCATCTTGTTGACCTGAAGTAGAGTCCATGTTGGGTAATAAGAAAGCACGACAGATTTTGGGAGCCTGAATGATGTTAAACATTTGACGTAACATTGTTAAACATTAAACAACAGTGACGTAAAAATTTGAAATTTTCAACATACTATACTATGA